TCTTATAGCTTTCATTATATATGTCCTTCACATGTTTCATTAGGTTTATTCGTAGGTGTTTTATTCTTTTTGTTGCAATTGCAGAAGGAATTGTTTTTTCCATTTCTTTTTCTGACACTTCATCATTAGAGTATAGAATGCTATAGATTTTTGAACATTGATTTTGTATCCTGAAACTCTACTGTATTTGCTTATTATTTCTAGTAGTGTTCTTTTGTGGAGTCCTTAGGGTTTTCTATATAGAGAATCATGTCATCCACAAAGTGACAGTTTGATTTCTTCATTTCCTTTTGGATGCCTTTTACTTATTTATTTTTTGCCTGATGGCTAGGACCTCCTATGTTATAGTTAATAACAGTGATGATAGTGGACAGCCTTGCCTTGTTCCTGATCTTAGAGGAAATGTTTTTAGTTTTTCACCATTAAGTATAACGTTGGCTGAGGGTTTGTCGTATATGGCCTTTATTACGTTAAGGTAATTTTTTTTCATATCTATTTTAAGTGTTTTGATCATAAATGGATGCTGTATGTTGTTGAAAGCTTTTTCTGCATCTATTGATATGATGCAATAATTCTTATTCTTTATTTTGTTTATGTGGTGTATCACATTAATCATTTTGCCTATGCTGAACCATCATCCCTGTGTCCCTGGGATGAAACCCACTTGATATTGTGTATATTTTTAATATGTTGTTGTATTCAGTTTGCTAGTATCTTATTTAGGATTTTTATGTCTGTGTTCATGAGATGTTGTCTGTAATTTCCTTTTTTGTGTTACCTTTACCAGGTTTTGCTATCAGGGTAATATTGGCCTCATAAAATGGGTTAAGAAGTATTGCCTCTTCTTTGCTTTTTTGGAAGAGTTTGAGAAGAGTAGGTATTAAATCTTCTTTGAATGTTTCGTAGAATTCACTGGTGAAGCCATGTGGTCCTGGACCTTAACTTTTTGGGAGGTTTTTAATGATTGTTTCAATTTCCATACTGCTGATCGGCCTATGTAGATTTTCCATTTCTTGATTCAGTTTAGGTTGTATATTTCTAAGAACTTGTCCATTTCTTCTAGGTTGTTAAAGTTGGTGTTACATATTTTTTCATAGTATTCTTGTATGATCTTTTGTATTGCTGCAGTATCTGTCATAGCTTCTCATTCATCCCTGATTTTGTTTATTAGTATCTTTTTCTCTTTGTTCTTTAGAGAATCTAGCCGGGGGTTGTCAATTTCATTGAAATTCTCAAAGAACCAGCTATTTGATGCATTTATTTATTTATTTTTATTGTTATTATTATTTTTGGTTCTCGATTTCATTTAATTCTGCTCTAATTTTGGTTATTTCTTTCCTTCTGATCTTAGGCTTCACTTGTTCTTCTTTCTCTAGTTTTCTAAGACAAAGTGTTAGGTTGTTTTTTTGGGCTTGTTCTTGTTTTTTGATATGAACTTTCCTCTTATGACTGCTTTTGCTGGGTCCCAAAAGTTTTGATGTGTTGTACTATCATTGTCATTCGTTTCTCTGTATCTCTTGATCTCTTTTTTTTCTTTTGTGACCCAGTCATTCTTCAGTAGCATGTTGTTTAATCTCCATATATTTGTGGTTCTTCCTGCTTTCTTTTTACAGTTGATCTCCAGCTTCAAAACATTATGATCAGAGAATATGGTTGTTATGATTTCAGTCCTCTTATATTTGTTGAGGCTATCTCTATGTCCCAGTATGTGTTCAATCCTTTAGAATGTTCCATGTGCACTAGAGAAGAATGTATAAGCAGCCATTTTGGAATGAAAGGCTTTGTAAATGTCAATTATGTCTATTTAATCTAATGTGTGAAAAGTACATGTCCTTTTATTTATTATACAAATACAAGACTGACTAAGCCTTACAGTAGTTCTCTTAGATCTGAGGTTCACAAATGCCAGTCCTTGGACCTCTGACAGACTGGCTTTATCAGAATCTATTGCCTTCATAAGAGCTTTCCAGAATTAAAAAAATAAATCTAGTAGTCATTATGCTATCTTTATGATTTATATACACACAAATACACATTGTAGATGTATATATATATAAAAACCAGCTCTCATTTTTTAAATAGAACTCTCTCTACTACAAGTTATAGCATAGCAAGTAATTATATCATAATTATTTTTCAAACATCATTTTAATGTAGTTAATTTATTTCCTCTACCTTGGTCAGAATGAACCAAAAGTATTCCAGATGGTACATTATCTTAGTCTGTCAGCCTTTTTGGATGAGTTTTTGAACTTATTTTCTGTTTATCTAGAAATTTAAAAATTACTGCTTCAGTATATACTCCGAGAGGCCTAACCGAAAAACTGTTTCTTGTTATCCAGTGTATGGTATCATCTTGTAAGTGAGGCTTCACTGTAGTAAAATGCCTTTGATCATTTAAGTTACTGAATCTCAAAATTGCCCTACTTCAAATTAAACTCTGTTCTAGTGAAATAATTTGCTAATAGCATTTTTCAGAGAGAGTTAGTATTCAGATTTATTTCTGGTGATATTGATTTGTAGAAAAATCAGTAAAGCTCTCAGGGCTCAGATTATGTCCTATTTTTCTATTTACCTGTTTTATTCAGAAGCACTTACAGCAAGTTGCTAGGTACTTAATATACTCTTTCTTAAAAACTGCATCTCTAAAGCAGGTTTTGGTGTTTATAACTTAGAGGGAATGATAGAAATGACAATCTCAAATTTTCACTTTTCACTGAAAAAAATTGAGGCCAGAGATTTAAACAAAAACACTAAACCAACTCTCAGTATACTTTAACCTAAGGATTATTAATTTAAGGCTAATCATAATCTAGCAGTTATTTATTAATTCCAATCATATAAAATATATCAAGAACCTGAAAGTATGGTAAAGAAAGACACATTTGGCTAGTCAAAATAAATGTCAAATAAAACCCGTAATACTCAAGCTTGTTTACTGAAGGAATAGTTCGATTTATTATAGTGTAAAGAAGGCTAAGCCCAAAGCCCCACTGGGCAGTAGGAATGAGAAAGGCAGACATTCATTTATCCATCAAACATTTATTGTAACCTTGCTGTATATAGAGTTTGCATCATTTGTATTTTTCTTCTTCCCAAGAGGAGAAGGAAGAAATAGGGATTTTATATTCAGATTTGCTGTACCCTACTGTAGCTGTCATTTCTGTCTCATTATAAAAAAGTTTGCTTTTAATCACTACCAAATTGGCAAGTAGAAAATAATAACCCTACACTGAGATATTGATGCTGTAATACTCAGCTAGGTTCACTCACTGTATACTCTTGTATATAGCTTCACCTCAGTAATACATTTAGGGTCTCTTGAGTTAGGGAAATTAATGATAATAAATTTGTGATGCCAGTGATCTATTATATTAAGATCGATTAGTCTTTTCTGATATTTGAAATAAAAGCCTTGTTACTGAAATTTTTATACAGCTGTAGAGCAGATGAATAATTCTCCTTTCCTAAGTAGTTAGAGATGGGAAGAGAGAATCTGAAGGGAGTCGTCTTATGCTGCTTCCTTTCCCATCTTTTCATGGGAATTACAGATGGAAATCTGTGATTATCTTTTAAAGTGCAGAAACTGGGAGTTGGAGGGTGGTGGGGAGGGTGTTCCATTTTCTTAATCAGGATATGTCCATTTGTCCCATTACCTTTCACTGTTAGCAATTTCATGTCTGTGTCCAGACTTTTTGTTTTCTCTTATCATGTTGAAGATACCTGTTTGAGAGATCTTTTCTTTATAATGTGAAGGTTTCCTTATAATGCTGGTGCTGGTCTCTTAGGCTGCAGTTCCTTTTTTTGTCATATTTGGGCTTGACTTCACCTAGTTCTACACAGTCATAATCTTCTCACCATCATCTTCCTTTGACTAGGGGATATAATTTATCTATTTCTTTTACTTAAATCTGCCTTAAATTTAAGGAGCTTAAAGCTTTTTCAAGCCCTACCAGAGTTGTTCTCATTTTTGGTTCAGCACTGACTTCTTGTAATTTAATAACTATTCTAGTCTTGGTGGGACAGGAAAAAAGAAAATACATTAAAAATGTGTCTTTTTTTCCCTGGTAGTCTTTTATTTAATTCATAGAAAGTATGCATTTTCTGTAACTTTATTTGTTACTTTGATAAAAAGCAGATATAACCTCTTTTGTCTTTGAGGAAAAGTTTTTAGGAAAAATACTTGTTACATTGATAACTTAAAATTACAGTATCATTCAGAACTTTGGGGAGATTCTTTCACCCAGGAAGGGGAGTAAGAATTTTTTTCTTTACTTCCTTCCCTCAGTGCACTTGTACTTTTACTTTCAAACTAAAACTATCGGTAGTTCAGGTAGTGTGATAACTGTGACTTTTACAATTTTTTACTTGAATCTATATTTATAATCATTTTCTTTAGGAAGATGTATGCAGGTTGCCAAAGTGATTCATAAATGAACTTATAAGGAATGCTTGCATTTTAAAAAGCAAGATATTTGTTTTTCCTTTGAGACTTAGTAAGACTAGAATGTATATTTGGCAATGACCGTCATTTGGATTGGCTCACTTTTCTTAACCTAGACTTCTGTTGTATACTCTGTTGGAAGGATTTAGTCCTATTACTTATTTTAAATGAAGAATAAGCTTTTAAAAAATTATTAAAATACTAAGAGATCTACTGAGGCATAGATGACATAAGTTGTATTTTAAAAGGGACTGCATTCTGGAACAGCTTTTGATGTAATCTCATTGCCTTTTCAATGTCCTTGGAAACTTTATATCTACTTGCTGCCTTTTGTTTATGGTTACACATTATTTAATTCACCTCCTGCAAGAGATTCTCTGTGATATTTATACTGGTTATAATTTTTTTTTTTCCAGGTGGAGTAATAATAATTGAGGACTGGATTTGATTGAACTTTTTTCTTAGTTTTACGTTTTCCTCATTTCGTTTCCACTGAAAGTTACTTGAGTAGTAATGTGTTTGCCTATTACTAAATAAAATTTTTCTTTTATTACAGATTTATACCTAAAACTGGAAGACGTGACCCATAAATTTAAGAAGCCCTGTATAATGGATGTAAAGATAGGGCGAAAAAGCTATGATCCTTTTGCCTCATCCGAGAAGATTCAACAACAGGTCAGCAAGTACCCATTAATGGAGGAGATTGGGTTCTTGGTGCTTGGCATGAGGGTAAGAGTTATTCTTGTTACATATTCGTCTCTTGAAAATTATAGATGTCATTATAATAACATATCAGAGGATAATATATTTTGGAATTGGGCTGTCCGTAACTCCTCTATGTATGGGCAGAGACTTTTATTTCTTTCATTCACTGATATTTGGTCAGTGTCTGCAATTATTCTGTACATGGTATGTGATTAATAAATAAATGAACAAATGGCTGAACCTCAAGACTCTGACTCTGGTAATTTTGTTTTAAAGAAGCTTTAAGTTTAGGTGTAAAATAATATGATAAGTAAATGTTATCTGTGATTTTTCCCATGAGGAAAGTGCTAAGTTTATATATTCAATAATTTTTCTATATTTCTGAAAGAAAAAGGAAGCTAAAATTAGGTCAGTGTTTCAGACTGTGATTTAAAAACAGTTGTTTCATTTGCTTACGATTCTGTGGGTTGGCGTTTGAGCTGGGCTCAGGTAGACAGTTCTGTTCTGATCTCACATAGGGTCCTTTATGTAGCTGCATTCATCTGATGGCTTGACTGGAGCTAGATCTGAAATGACCTCACTCTTATGTCTGGGAGTTTGTACAACTTTTGGATGGGCCTTTTTTCCATATGGTCTCTTATCTTCCAGGAGGCTAGCTGGAGCTTCTTTGTGTACCACATTTCAAGAAGGTGAGAGTGGGAGCTACAAGAGCTCTTAAAGTCTAGGTTAGAAAGTTACTTGTCACTTCTCTGGAACTGTATAGTTTGGACTATATTGATAAGGAGGATAAATAAACTCCACTTTCAATGGTGGGAATAGGGAAGTCACAATACAAATGGCAGTATGCATAAGATGGGAAGGATCGTTGAGGCCATCTTTGCAAACAATATGCCACAGTTAAGTAATGTGGAATAAAATTCTCTAAACAAATAGTATGTCTTTTAGATGTGTGGAGGTAAAAATTTTAGACATGATAAATAATTGCATACCTGTATAAGCATAACGAGTAGTTTTGAAATTCATCATGTACAACAATATACAGATCTTCCTTTTGAGCTTTAAACAGTATAGTTAATAAGCATTGTAGATGAATTGTTAATGTGTTGGTTACAACAGCACAGTTGAATTTGATATTCTGATTGTAAATAAAACCACAGAAATTATTGATGCGGTTATTTCATTTCGAAAACTATAAATGTGGGTATATAGTAAAAGGAAAAAGAATAATGAATTTTAAAACAAATGGAAAAAAAGCATCCCGCAGAAATCTGAATTGGCAACTATTTAAATCTTCACTGTTTTCAAATCTCATCCTCCCACTTTCCTTCTCACTGTTAGCAGAGGACTTTGCCTTCTGCTTCAGAAAAAATAAAAGCAGGATTTCCTTTAATTTCCTGCTAACAGATGTACTTTCGTTCTCTCTTCTTCCTGTCACATTGAAGAATTTTCCAACCTTCTATCTAAGGACTTCCCTATGCCCTCTGGATCTCATTCCCTCCCACGTCTTCAGGAACTTAATACTGTTGATTCTTTCTTGTTTTATATCTTCAACTTCTTCCTCTCTTTACTCCTTTCCTTTTGTTTTATATATATTCAAATAACTCAAGTTTTTAAAAAACAATATCAAAACTCACCTTTACCTTGCTCTGCTCCCCAGCAGTGGATTTAACTTGCCTCCCCTTTGCAGCCAAACTAGTTATTTCCATTGTCTTACTTTCCACCCTCCAATCTAGCTTTTGCTCTATCATGCCACCAGATTGGTTCCTCACCAAGGTTCTAATGGCATCACCATGTCACTAAATCCAAATGGCATTTTTCATTACTTACCTTACTTCACTTTGAAAAGGAGATTTCAAGGGTGACTTGGTCTTCCTTGAAACATTCCTCTTGGTGTCCATAACAGTACACCCTCTACTGTTTTTTTCCAAAGTCCATTTAGTAGTTTTTTTTGCCAGCTTATTTTTTTCCTGTTTATTCTTTAAACGTTGAAGTATTCCACTCTATTCCATTTTACTGCCTCCCTCTCTTTTCTTTCTATTTCTAAGTAATGTCCTTTGTTCTTATTTTGTTCACTTAACACTGGTAACTCCCAAATGCATATCTTCAGCTTCTTTTTCCTTGATCTCCTAATCTATATATCTAATAGCATCCTAGACATTTTACTTGGATAACTTAAAAACAGTTAGAACTAATACATAAAAAAAATGATACACTCATCTCTCTCATAGACTAAAACCCACAGCAAAAGCAACAAATCTCTGTTATTCCTTATTTTAATAAATGGCATCACCATATATCCGGTTTGCAAACTAGAAACCTTATAGTCACCTTTCAGAGCCATGCATTAATCCTATTGATCTTAATAACCAAACATCTCATGAGTCCTGTTATCACCATTATCCTACTCCAGGCTCTAGTCTCTTCACTGATATCTCAAGTTCAGTTTTGTTCTCTTCCAATTTGTTCTCCAAACATTGCAAAAGTATATTTAATCATGAATTCCCCTATTAAAAAACTCTTCAGTGGGTTTCGATTGCCTTAGGATACATATATAAGATAAATAAGGCATTGGATGATTTGGCTCTCCTGGGATGAGTCATTTCGCCAAATAGAGATTCTTCTGTCTGATGTATATATTTTTTAATAACAACTCTATTAAGATATAATTTATATGCCATTCAGTTCACTCATGTAAAGCAGGAGCCTCTAACCCCTAGACCACGGACCAGTGCTGGTCCCTGGCCTGTTAGGAACCAGGCCACACAGCAGAAGACGAGCAGTGGGCTAATGAGCAAAGCTTCATATGTATTTGCAGCCCCTCCCCAGTGCTAGCATCACCGCCTCAGCTCCACTGCAGATCATTAGGTGTTATATTCTCATAGGGGCACTGGTCTCTGGTGCCAAAAAGGTTGGGGACTGCTGACAAAGTATACTGTTCATTAATTTTAGTATATTCACAGGGTTGGACAGCCATCACCACATTCAACTTTAGATTATTTTTTCACCCCCAAAAGAAATGCCATACTTTTTAACATTTGAAATCCTGCCACTTGAGACAATGTGGATAGACCTTGAGAACATCATGCTAAGTGCAATAAGCCAGACAAAGAAAGGAAATGGGAGATGTGGGTCAAAGGGTATAAAGTTCTAGTTAGATGAGTAAGTTCTGAGGATCTAATGTATAGCATGGTGACTGTAGTTAAAATACAGTATTGTATGCTTGAAATTGGCTGAGAGTAGATCTTAAGCATTCTCACCACACAGAAAACTAGTTAACTATGTGAGGTGATAGATATGTTAATTATTTTGATCTTGGTAAACTTTCCACAGCGTATATATCAAATAATCATGTGGTATACTTTCAATATATACAATTTTATTTGTCATTCAGTCCTCAATTAGTTGGAAAAACTGTAAATGAGGTATGTTTTACTATACGGTAGGATGGCAAAGTTAGTCCCTCCTTATTAATCTTATTTCAATTATCCTGGTTATTCTTACTTTTCTATATAAACTTTAGAATTAACATATGGTTACAGAAATTGTTGGTGTTTTATTATATCATTTTAGTTCTGGTTAATTTAAGTAGAATTGGTATCTTTTGTGATGTTTAGTCTTGTCTCTGAGAACATGGGCGTGTGTGTATATCTCAGGAATGTGTAAAAATGTCTTTATATAGCTCTTTCCTTTATTTAGTTTATTTCTATGTTTTATTTCCTTTTTGTGGCATTTGTAAATGGGGTCTTCCATTATGTTTCTAATCAGTTATTTGTATATATCAAAGTTTATTTTGTGTTTACTAATTTTATTCAGTTATTTCAAGTTTTTATTTTGTGTATTAGTTTTTCAGTTGATTTTCAGTATACAACCATTATCTACAAAGAGTAATATTTTTACCTCCTCCTTTCCAAATTATTATACCTCTAATTTTTTTCTCATCTATTTGCATTTGCTAGAAACTACAGAACAATATTAGATAGTAATGATGATAAAAGGACATTCTGGTAGAACACTTTTTGTGGAAGCTTCCTGTATTTTAGGGCAGATGCTTCCTTATTTTCACTTTAAACTTGAACTGACTTGGTGGATTGAGGTAGATAATTTTTCATATTGAAAATACTCATCATTTTAAAGAGTTTTTATCAATAGTGGATATAAATTTGTTAAATACCTTTTTAGCATCCATCGAAAAGGTGGTATGATTTTTTTTCTTCTTCAATCCATTAGAATGAATTATATGAATAGATCTTCCCATCTTAACCATCTTTGCATTGCTGGGATAAGTCCTATATGGTCAAGGAGTATTCTATTCGATTTTAATATTCAGTGCTTTTTCTGACAGGTTTATCATGTTCATTCTGATAGCTATGAGACACAAAATCAACACTATGGAAGAAGCCTAACAAAAGAAACTCTAAAGGATGGTAAGGATTGAAAAGGCATATTTCAATGTTTTTCTTACTACACAGTTATCAAAACAATTCTAAAGTGATTTCAGTTCTCTCTTTTTTTTTTTAGTATAATGATTCAATTCACAATAAACAAACTTTAAAAAAAAAATGAACCTTAGATGCACAGAATTAGTCATAATCCCTGGTTCATGGTACACCAAAACCAAGGGTCTGTGAACGCTTACATTTTAATTCATTTATTATTTATTAATATTCTTTAACCCATCTCCCATTTGCCCTGAGAATACTCGCCGGTGGTGCTTGCGGCTGCAGTGTTTACCATGAGATAACTCGCAGATTACAGTCCTTACCTTACCCTCAAAGTTTGCTATGAAATAGCTTGCTTTAATTATTACTTTCATATCACTCTAGTGTATTGATAGTCTTTGGAAACAAATGATGTACTTCTACTTATAGCATTCTGTTTTTAGTCATGGTATTTCAATTTACAAAATATGGTAATTCTCGATTGCTGAAAATGTCAAATCCTAGATGTTCTCCGCTTTGTGTTGTTCAGTGCTTTGAAATTTACCACACAAAAAAAATTATTAAATATTGGTCATCATATACATTTCTGTAACATTAGGATTAGAGACAAGTTCTGTTTAGTAATAACTCCATGAAGTTTTTATATTTTATTTTCATATTGAAAACCAGTCAGATTTCCTTCAGTCTTAAAGAGCGTGTTTATGTAAAATTAACGCTGGCAGCAAGTTGCACTTATTTTTTTCTAAATGGGAAATGGGTTAAAAAATGAACATCTTTGATCCAATCATCTAGTCCAGGTTGTTTTTAAAATCTTAGTACACTGATCATAGTATATTAAAACTGCTTGTTACATAAGAGAGTTTAAAATGTGTGTTGTATCATGTAATTTATCTTTATTAAAATTTCCCATGTGTAGTTAGTTGAGGTGTGTATTATAAGCTTCTAGAACTATATTATAAATAGACAAGTGGCATTAAAAGTAGTTCAAATAAAGTCTGTTAACATATATGCTCCTAAAATATTTATGGGCAAGATATTACAAAAGCAATGATATCCTAGATATCTGCAAATAATATTTTGTTGGAAGTTTATTCTTAGCTCTACCTAAAATAGGGAGCAGCTTATGTATAGTGTGAAGAGTTTGAAGAATTTTTATTTTATGTGTAGAAAATAAGCATCCCATAGTGTGATTTTAACAATTAATATTTGCCTTGGCCAATAGTAAGATAATATGGAGATTGGCCAATAGTAAGATAATATGGAGATTGGCTCTTTATTAAAATATTTCCCCAGCTAATCTGAATATATTTAGTAGTTTCTGTCCCAAAGCTATTTAAAAGTAGAAATTAATTTGTAAATGCCCATAAATTTGTAAATATGATAAAATAGGCATAAATAATTTTAAGAGGCCTAATTATCTGATAGGTTAAAATATGTAAAAGTCTCCATTTTGGATAACACTCAAATTGGAGTAGTGCTAATCCCCAAAGTGAGCCTAACTTGTGAAAAGACTGATTTAATCAATATTATTGAGAACAGAAATTTACTACAGTTATGATTTGGTATTTTGGTAATGGGCTGCTGACCCCATTAAAAATGGTTATGATTTGACTCTAGGTTTTATAAGTAATCTTGCTAAAAATCTCTTATAATAGTGAATGAAGCAAATTTTGGAATCACATTTCTTGAGAATGTTATAGAGAGAGAGAACTAAACTACTGGTCTATCAGTTTTATCTAAATTGGATACTTTCACTTGACATAAGTGTCATTTAAATATTTCCTAATAAGAATATCTTTAACAGAAATTAAACTGAGGTCCAAGTTTCTGTGTCTGACTAGAATTCTTGCCTGTTCAGTTAATTGCAAGGGATGATGGGAAAAAATTGGAGAATTGTATCTACGATGAGTTTACTTCCCAAATGATAACTATTTCATAATTTTATTATAGTCTTAATAATATATTATAATAATACTATATTTTCTTTTTTATAGGAGTTTCCAGGTTTTTTCATAATGGATTCTGCTTAAGAAAAGATGCTGTTGCCGCCAGTATTCAGAAGATTGAGAGTATTCTGCAGTGGTTTGAAACTCAGAAGCAGCTTAACTTTTATGCAAGTTCATTACTATTTGTTTATGAAGGTTCATCTCAGCCAACTACTACAAAATCGAATGACAGAACTTTGGCAGAAAAATTTTTGTCCAAAGGACAACTCTCAGACACAGACGTACTGGAGTACAATAATAATTTTCGAGTGTTAAGTTCCACAGTGAATGGAAAAATAGAAGCTTCAGTAGGCAAAAGCTTGTCCAAGATGTATGCTCGTCACAGAAAAATGTATTCAAAAAAGCATCACAGTCAGACTTCATTGAAAGTTGAAAAGATAGAGCAAGACAATGGGTGGAAAAGCTTGTCACAGGAACATTTAAATGGAAATGTACTTTCCCAACTGGAAAAAGTTTTCTACCATCTTCCCACTGGTTGCCAAGAGATTGCAGAAGTAGAAGTACGAATGATAGATTTTGCTCATGTTTTCCCTAGCAACACAATAGATGAGGGATATGTTTATGGGCTGAAGCATTTGATTACTGTACTTCAGAGTATTTTAGACAATTGAATCCTTTGCTGCAGTCTTTTTAAGGGATGGGGCAATCAGTGAAGAGCAGCAATCAATATCTCTGCATTTCTAATGCTATGTAAAAAATTTGTATTGTGAGTCTACATTTTATTTGTCTTTATACTTTTGGTAGAAGGGTTAACTTTTTTATAATCTTACTCAGGAAAAACTAATTATTTGTTCATTTGAAAACTATGAAGAATAAAGAAACTTTGGAATGTTAAGCAGGGAATATGGTGGTACATGGTTTAAACACCTATTTGGCTCAAGCAAACCATTCAGTCATTAAGAGTTTAGTTTTCTGTAGCCAGTTTATCATGAAATCTCTGTCCACCCGTAACCTTTACAATGAGCCATATCTAAACTCATTACATTATGAGAACACTTTCAAAAATCTAGAAAGCACAGGTTGATGTTCTTAGTATTGCTATATGAAGTTATTAAAACTGGAGAAAATTCTACTTCAGAAATAAATACTGTTTAGTTTTATATTAAAAGTTCCGACCAGCATATCACAAGGTGCTTCTTAGTGAAATGATTTAGAATTATTGCATTCCAAAAGCAGATTTCCCCTTTAATTTTCATTTATATCCATATTTCAAAATATTATACTTTATAAAAAAGGTAATTGAAATGGACAACAACAACAACAACAAAAATCTTGAAATTAAGGGCACTAATAATAATTCTTGCTAGGACAAGAAGAAAGCAGTTACTTGGAAGGAACAAAATATTTTTCTTTAAAAATTTTTCATTTATGGGCAAATTGGAATATATATTTACTACATTATGAAAGTGTTATGAACCATTTAATAACTTTTCCTCTAACTGCGCCTTCAAAAAGGTAGATGATTGAAGCAGTCTTATTTCTTCTTTAAATAACATTTGAGATTTTGAAAAATTCATTATATGTTTCCATTTAGTTAAACAGTAGTATATATATGTATTGCTAAAAATGATGTTTCTCAGAATTCTAATAAGCAGTGAAGGAAACATTCAATATTGTGAGTATTGTCAAAAGTACTATGTAAATTAGTACATTGTAGAGAATTTGGTGCACATCTAAATCCACGCTTCTATTTTACTTTTACTCAAAATAGTTTCATATTATATTCAAGAGAGAAATTATTTAATTTCATGGAGGGGAGCAATGTTATTTTTTCTGGATAAATTAAGTTATGTATTATCTGTGTTTCATATCCATTACATTTAAAAAAATAACTACTTATTATTGAAAACGTTTAAAACTTTGAGGTTAAATTTGCAAATGTTAGATGTTTATGCTCTCATTACTTGCATTTGATCCACAAATAACACATCTAAGTAGTTAACAGTTTTGCCATATTCCTGGGAGTTGTGAATTGTTTGATTGTCCCCTCCCTTTTCCCAAAAAATTACAAATTAAACTTGTAAGTCCAAGCGCCTTCTTTTGGTGTGCGGAAGATAGTATCACAATTATCTGTTTATCTCACTTTCCTAACTCTCTCCGAGGGTACTTTGCAAACCCTGAGCCCAAACAGAAGTACACAATGCTCTGTGATTTTTGTGGTTAGTGAATATATTAAACCTGAATAACTTTAAAATTTATATGCATTTTGTTACAGGAAAATTTGATTTATTGTAATTTTTTATTTAGAGTCATTGTAAGTATTTTCCATAGGGACTTCTTATTTTTCTCTACTGCCTAAGTGGGTATTGGCTTTTGCTTTTTTTGTAGGGATGAATTTTAAGTCATAATCACAAATTTTTTAGTTTTACTTTATTTCTCCTACAACATAGACTTTTGTTGTTGTTGTTGTTTGGATAGTGGTTCAATAAATCTTATGTTCAGATATTTAGACACTATTTTGAATCTGAACAAAACAAGAGGCTTTTTTTTATATGGGATGGTATCAGCCTATATACAATGAATTAATACATTTAAGTATTATTAGATTTTTTTTGCACATTTTAGCTCAATAAAGTGTGAATCAACTGTTCCAGATTTTCTTTATCCATATTTGGAAATATAGTTTTGTAAAATCAGTGTCTTACCTTTTTGATACAATAAATAGATCATGTTTTGTTTTATTTTAATAAAACAAGAAGCGCTTTTATCTTTTGTTTTTCAGGGAAGGGATTAACATTTAATTCTGTTTACATTTTTTATCACTGTTATCCAATGCTCATTTTATGTTACTTTATAAGTAAGCTTACATCTAACAGAATAAGTGTCTGTTTATGTAATCTACATGTGACTATTTTACTATCTAGTCCAGTCATTTAGCATTATGCTGAAATTTAGCACTGTGGAAATGAATGATCACTATTCACCAAGCATATTTAAAAATGTAAATGTTTAAGAAATAAGCATAATAAGTATGTAGTTTGGGTTAATAGGATTATCAAAATTCCACTAGAAAACACAGATAATGGTTTTAGTGTATTTCTTATGGAATGCACTCATAAAAAGAACTTTAAGAAATTATGGAGAGTGAATAATACATTTCTCTAATAAAAATTTAAATTGTATAATAGTTTTATAATAAAGTATTTACATTAATTGATATTTTAATATGGATGGAAGTTGCATAGATTCAAATAAATAAAAATTGATGATAAATATTTTATCTAAATAGTTTTTCAAGAAACAGTTGTGAAAATGTATATATTAAATGGCTCTAACGTGGAGCTTGTGGTATTTTCAACTCAGTATTCATTATTCTTTGTTTCATGTCTCTGGACAGATTGTAGTTATACCTCTTACACTACAGTTTGCTATTATGGGGCTTTAGATTGTGTTCAACTGAATAAGAACTTTTTTTTCTGATTTTGATTGAGTTTAAGTTACTATTTTATGATTTTCAAGGTGATGTCCATATCTTCTCTAACATCTATCAAATTTATAACATAAGAAAAAGGAATTAATTTTCAGAGATATTTCAGTTGCAATTTTCTTGTTTCATACATCTGAAAACGTTTGTTTTTAGGATTTAGAATATTGTGGAAGATGTAAGATAAAAGAAAATGGTAAAACAATGAAAAAATTTTGTGAAATTACATAAATTTTGTCCACTGTTAAAAACATTGTCATCGTTTTAGTACTACTTTCTCGTAGCAGTATGACATTTTATACTTAAGCTTGATTTGCTTTAAAAATTGTTTACAATGCTTTGTAATAATCTTTCTTATCTAGTGCCTTTAACCTTGATTTGATACATGTGTAGCCTCAGTTATCCTTCCATTACATCCTATAATGTTAGCATAGACATCAGTTTCTTTTAAAAAATTGCCAATTTGATCGTGTGAGGAGGTAAATGTTTTGGGAAAATGAGTAGAGTTGCCTATAGAGACTAGGCTGCTTAGTTCATTCAAAAATATTTACTGGTTATTTACCATGCACCAAGCATTTTTAGCCCCTGTGAATATACAGTTGTGAACCAATCAGACAAAGCCCTAACTATTTCCAGCATTCTGTCTAGATGAGATGGGGTAGGGTTGGGGACTGAATTAAAATAGAGATACAGAAAAATATTCATTTAAAGATAATAAAGTTAAAAAGCATTTGAGTTTGTGTAAAGATAAAGTAATTATTGAGATGAGGTGAAGCAACTAACAATGTTAGAGAGGTTAAATAATACTTTGCAGCACGATAACCTCTATATGACTTTGAGTTCAGGTAGTAATTATAGACAGCATAAGAAGGGCTTAATTTTTCAGTTTTCTTGTTGGTAAAGGTACGTTTACTTAGACTGTCCATTTAGAGTAGTGTTTTAACATAACATTACTGTGAAAAACATTCCATTATATATTCACAAGCAAATTACTGCACATTTTTTACATTGTATTTTATAATTTAGTACAAACGTTTTAGGCCTCAGTCCTCAAATCACCGGTATTTTAAATTTAGCAATGAATATGAAATTACTTTCTGACTTACAGAGTGATTTTATTGTTACTTAAAATGCTTGTTAATATTTTAGGAAGGTTGGAGTTTCTGTTTTCTGGGAGTTAATATTTAAATTATTACTTTGATAGCATCTAGTAAGAGGAAACTATTCATGCGATTAAACAAATGACAGTATACTTTCAAGAATTTTCCTTAATTGTTAAACTTTGTCATTGGGGTTAAATTTTGTCCTAGTGTTCACTTACAACATATATTAACAAGTTTAATTATGAAGTGAATAGTCTTAAGTATGATGTGTGATGCACCTGCATATAAGTGAAAATGGCGTGCACAAAGACACTTTACTATGGGAGCTGTACTGGAAGATTTATGAAAGCATGTGAAATTGCACCTAAAATTGTGTTATTAGTGACTATGCTAAATTTATTGTACTTGATGAATGAATGTATTTAGTCTAGTCAAAGTTACTTTGGTTTAAATGTCTTTTTTAATGTGTTTGTAATTTGTACTATTGATGGGGGGTATTCTTGGACTGCAGGGGTTATTGTCAATGTGTGATTTTATTTTTTAGAATCATCTAATGTGATATACTGATTTTTATAAGTGATATTTAGATAATTCTAATAACTGTATATTTGACAACCTATTAAAATGTTTTGCATTGGAGCTGTTTTCATTAATTATAATGTACTAACAAATTTATGGTAGTTTAAGAAATAATTTATTCATTCAACAATTATTTGAGTACATATTATATACCAAAAACTATAAGAATCATTAGGGATTCAAAGATGATTAAAGACAGGATGTTAATGGAAGCATATACATTTGAAATGAAAAAATATGTAAACTTTTGTATGAATATACAATTTTTAACATGTGGACTGAAATCTTTGGAACCAACCTAAAAGAAGTAGACTATAGGAGGAATAAATTGACTTGGCTGTGAAAATATATACTACAATTTTAAAACTTCAGGAGTAGGTAAGATGTTTTTGCATGTATTTGAAATTTCACAAATTAGTTACTTAATCAGTAACCAAGTTAGTATTTTCATCCATTAAATTAAAAAGAGGGCACTGTTGAAATCCTACCCTATACCAGGCACTGTATTTGACTTTGGAGATTTAAAAAGTTGAATAAGAGATTCAGTACCTATCTTGGAAATATGTACTGTCTGGTAGAAAGAAAAAAAAACCATGTAAATGTGGGATAAAATGTTATTGGGTCTGTGATTGATAGTTATCAATATACAGCAGGGCCATGAAAGAGAGGAGTCAGTCTGATAGCATGCAAGAGGAAGAAGAGGATGTGTGATTCATAGCCTCATAACAATTGTGAGTCAAGGCTCCAGAAGGTTGTATGGCTTTCCTCTCGTGCCCGTTGCTGTGCACTGTGGGGTTGAGCAATGCCATGTGAAGTAGTTATTTTTCTTATTAAGACTAGCTGCCTTACTGCTGAAAAAAATGGGGAATCTCATTGCCATAGTCCCCAAGTTACAGCTAAGTGTTAAGAACTAAAAAAAAAAATAAAAAAGTAAAAATAGTCTCTTAGGGATTTCATTAGAAATGCAGATTGTAATTCAGCAGGCATAGATGGGGTCTGTGATACTCCTTGTTCATAGAACACACTTTGAGTAGAAAGATTTTTTTAGAAAGCTCTTTGGGGGTGGAGTGTACAGTAGATCTTGGGTCACTTTGATCTAAGCAATCAGCTGTTTGAAAGCCAGGTGAGGGTGCTGAGAAAGAAATGGGCTTAAAATGTGAGAAAATACATCTAGAAAATACATACTTCCATACATGTAATACCCCTACTTAAAAATCTTTTACTAGCTTCTTCCCTGCCCTTTCATCTACCACTCCCTTTCCTTTGCCCCGTTTCAACAAAATTCCTCAGTTTACCTCCAATTCTCCCATTGACTCGTTCTAGTTAGGCTTCCCTAGGACTTGTATTTTCTGTGTCAGGCTTGTGCCTTTTTAGGTACACTAGACAACAGTTCAGCACTATGCTTGGGGGACTATTTTAAACAACATCACCAAAATCACAAAAATTTGAAAAACAGCACTAAATAAACTGCAGAGAACACATTTGTATTATGAGAACTAAAACAAAAAGGCAGAACATAGCTATACCATGCCGCTGCTGGGAATGTATGCATTGGGTGACTCAAATTTTTTTGCTGCTCTACAAATGACTGCAAAAATGCTAATGAGTATTGTTTGGGGCTACAAATAAATTTTAGTGAGTAGGTGAATTCATGAATAATTGGCTCAACTATATACATATTTTGTGTGCGTGTGTGTGTGTGTGTGTGTGTGTGTGTGTGTGTGTATGTGTATTATCAGGCACTGTACTAATAATTTACATATTCCATCTATAACCCAATTCTTTTAGTTAGGAGTCTAAACATAATTGCTGAAAGCTATCTTTCCCACATCCTATAAGAAGTTCAATGTGCTTCCTAAGAATTCTGAACAAGAGCTAGCCCCAAGTTTGGTTCCTCCTAAGCTTTTGATCTTGTTTGTCTCTGCAGCAGCTCTTTCTGCTCCATAAAAAGCCAGGGATAGGACTCAGCTTCTTTGCCTTTATTTTCTCTAAAATTGCTGATCCGGGGCTTTTGTTTGTATAGCAGGCTTTAGGGAAATCTTGGGAATAAAAAACTTGGTTACATTGCAATAACACAAACAAATTAAAATGTTAAACAGCTTTGTCTTAAACTTTAGTGTTTTAGTTTCTCCACCCTAACTCCTGGAATTTTTAATAGTTGTTATATCTAAATCTTTATTTACAATAATAGGATATTTGCTTACTTCAGATTATAAATTTAACATCACTAACCAAGGCATTCAGACTTTGTTTTTTTCCCTTTTTTCCCAACAGTATCTGTAAATAGAGAACAGAGATTTGGTTTTGCTGAGATGAATTATGATAGCCACTCTTTGAGAAGCACAATTGGCTATGGTAGTTTTAGTAACATTTTTTCCTTCTATGTTATTGATGTCAAACCCATTTGATCCTCACAGAATCTCTATGAGAAAGTTTTATTTCAAATTTACAGATTAGGAAAAGGCCCAGAGAAGTTAAGTCATTTGTCCAAGTTTGTAGAGCTTATTACAAGGAGTTCATCCTAGGGCTTAAGAGGTCAAGGTGCTTAACCACACTAGATTTGCTTACTTCCCAGTTCTCTAACTTCCCAAACAAGGGATGTCTGGATTGGTGAGAATATGTTGTACCGTGTACTATTATTATATAAAAAAAAAAATCTATAATCAAATTAAATACTGGATATATTATCCAAATTAAAAATGTGGGTTTACTCTTATTTTTCATAGAGATACTCTGTATGTTAAAGAAGATGTTGAAAGTCCAAGAACTAAAAATTGGATTGTTTCTATTTGTACATCGCTATATAGCCCAGGAAAAGAGATTTTAAATATGTACTTAATTATACTGGTTAATTAGTTACTTGCAGAATTATGATGGCTTTCTGATGTTGTAAGGCAATTTTGAAAGGATGCAGATTAAAGGAATATAAGTATAATGGCCAATGCATGTTTAGATTATATAAATGAATTTAAAATTTTGGAAGATTTGTAGCTAAGCAGAGAGCTTTCTTATAACAAAGTAAACAATGCTCTCAAGAAATAACATATGGAAAAGTTTATTTTAGCTTTTTTTCTTATTATAGTTTATTGGGGTATAATTCAAGACTTTTTAAAGTAAATTTGTGATTTAAATTTGTGAGCAAGCACAACAATTCAATTTTAGAAATTTTTCATTACGTCCCAAATTTCCCTCAAGCCTACTCGCATTTTTTAAAAGTTCTTAACAGGTCTGAGGGAGGAAAACAACACAATTTTACTACTTGAAGAGAAAAGAAAATTCATCTAGTACCACCTAGTGTTGTTTAAGTAGATAGCAAGTTGATATTAGAGTTCTTTAAATCCTCAGATTTAGGATTCTTTCTATGGGTTCACTAAATCAGGTACAAATATTTATGGTTAATAATTAAAGTTCAACTCAAAAATATCCACGAGCTTATCTAAAATCCTACTACATAAAATCGTAAAACTTAAAATTAATGATATATTATCTTCAAATGATAATTTACTTGGAGCCTTAGTATGTTTAGCCGATCAATGCTTACAAACTTTGTTTGAAGCAGGGATAGGAGGTCAGGATCTTGGCCCACCTGCTCCCCTGCCTATTGCAATTAACTATATAAAGAAAAGACTGTAGAGAAATAAAAAAGAGGGTGGTTATCTTTGGGTATCAGAAAATGAGTGAATTTTTCCTTTTGGCTTTATTTTTCTCTTGACTATGTATTTATAATTGAAAAAACTGTAATAAACTATTTTTTAAAGTGAATTTAAAATTTCAAAACATTGCAAAAATGCCTAGCAAAGTCCTTGAAAGACAGTAATTTTCCATGACTATTATTCTCTTGGATTCCTACCTATTGCTGGCAGTAGCTCACCGGATTCAAGGCAGAAATCACTGGAGGTTCCTGCCTCAGCCTCACAGTATGATTTCTTGTGGGGACTCTACCTCATTGAGCTTCATGGGAGCTCAAAGTCCCAAGATTAATTACATTTTAATCAACAGTGTTCATATAGTGAAATATACATAATCCTGATAGTGTTATTAGAAAACTGCTTTATTACAGAAAAATTATCCAGAGAAACAATAATTTTGGCAAACAGTTATGTAATTAGAGATGACAAATTGAATAAAAATAACAAATGCCTAACTTAGATTCCACTTCTGGCTCTGATTCTTACTATCCATGTGAACTTGGGCAAGCCATTTGACCTCCTTCTGTATTCTTTTTCTCAACTGTAAGCTGGGTGTAATAAAAAAAAAATACCTACATTACAGGGTTGTTATGGGAATTAAATGAAATAATACATGTATACTATATATCAAGTGCCCAGTAAATGTTAGATATATCTTCCATTATTTTACTATTAGTTTTATTTTATTAGAGTGTTGTGGGAGAGATTTGGCTTACTCTGACTGGGGGAAATCTGATGACACCACTTCTATAGGTGTAGATGGGAAACTAAAAATATGGGAGAGATGGGGCACGGGTGCTGTCCTTGGTTCTGAAACCACCATCACTCAGCATGGAAGACTGTTCTAAAACCTTAGGATACTGGTGATTCCTGGTTCAACCTCTTCCAAGAATTTTGAAGCAGGTGAGGGCAAAAGTGAAGGGAAATGCAGGAACGCATGTGTACATACACACAGACACACACACACACGGGGGGCGGAGAGAGAAAGAGGGTAGGGAGAGAAAAGGAGAGAGCTCCTTTTGGTGTCTCTTCTTATAAGTACACTAATCCCATTACGGGGGCTCCACCCTCATGATATCATCTAACCCCAATTATCTGCCAAAGGCCCTTTCTCTAATTACCATCACATTGGGGGATAGGGCTTCAACATATGAATTTCGGGGTGATAAAATGTTTAGCCCAGTCCATATCAGCCTATAAAGTGGGAAGCGCAAGAGTTTGTCACACCAAAGGCTCTCAATAAATGATAGTTACATGTAAAGGGGAAGCTGTAACCTGGGCCTCATAGTTTTAGTCTCACTGTATAATTCTACTTTTTTTCCCATGGTGCAGACCATTTAATATGAACTTGATATCTGCACATACAGATTT